GGGCTCCCTCGTCCCTCCGGCTCCGCCTTGGTCGGGCGTCGACTCGCCATCGCCTCAGGACTCCGCTCCTCCAGCTGAACCTCGTTGCTCCGTCCCACCGGCTCTATTGGGTTCCTTCCTCCCACCAGCTCCACCTTGGTCCTCAGTCACTCCGGCTCTGCCGCGGATCTCCGCCTCCGCCTTGGTCGCCAGAGCCCTCGGCTCCACCCTGGCCCCCCGTATCCTCGGCATCCCCCTGGCTCGTTGGCTCTCCGTCTCCGCCTCCGCCTCGGGCTCCTCCACCACCTGCTCCGTCACTGTTGGTCGGTCCCCTGGAGTCGGCGGCCATTCCTCCTCCATGACTCCTCCCTCCGCCGGCTCCTCCATGGGTCGACATTATGGCTGTGGCCTGGGTCCTGCTTGGCTCCTCCTGCTCCGGGCCCCTCCTGTCTCCTCCCTGTCTCCTCCCTCCTTCGTCACGTCCCTCGTCTCTGTCTGCCGGCCCCCTCCCACGTGTCCGTCCTACTTGTTATGTTCATGTGATTCCTGTCGTTCCCAGTGTTGGATGTACCCTGTGTTTCTTGGATTAAAGACTGTTTCGTTTATTCCTTGTCTCCATCGTTCCTCGCCATCACCGATTGTGACAGATTACACGTGAATTACTTCTGTTTAATATTTAATTTTTACTTATAATGTTTGTTAAACGAGTTTAAATATAGGCAATATGTATAGCATACGTATTAAAAACAATATAAACAATACTGTAAATGATATAGGCCTAAATAAAGGAAAATAAAGGAAGTTATCATGCAAACCAGTGGTTGTGTGGAGTATTTTACAAAAGTTTAAGAGGATTTAAGTTAATCTGTAAACATTATTTAATATCTGAAGTAAAAAATAAGCTAGTAGCTTATTATAGTCAAAATGAATCAACTCATTAGCTGGGTTAAATCAACCCGTTATGCTGGGTTAAATAAACAACCCAATTTGCTCGGTAAAATTAACCCAACATGTGTTCTGTCCTATATTTACCCAGCCCTTGGGTCAAAAACTACCCAAATTGGGTTGTTTTTAACCCAGTGTTTTTTAGAGTGTAGGTTTTTGTTACGCCAATTTTCATAACGTAGACAGGGCGAGTGTATATCTGAAGTCTTTGGCGTTTTATTTAGCCTCTAATTGATATCCTGTTATAAATCTGTACACTAACATTAGATGAGGTAAAATAAACCATGCATACGTCAATATTCTATTGATTTGTGCTTATTGGTGAAAGAGCAACTTCTGATGAAATGTAAAAATAAACTTCCCAAATGACAACAATCATTGCAATTAAAATTGAGCAAAATAATATATATTTTTTCATCATTTTAACCATTATACAGTAAGACGAAAATATGATAAAAATTTGCAAGTTTCCACTGACTAAAACTAGATTAAAATTCTCAGACATTCGACTAAAACTTGACTAAAACTAAAGCAGGACAAGCTGACTAAATATGATAAAAACTAAAAGTTACATTTGACACAGGACTAAGACTAAGACTAAATAAAAAATAGCTGACAAAATTAACACTATTATTGTCTCCCAAAAGAAAGAATCGACTCTGAATAGCCTAAACGAGTCATCAGTTATTTTAATCCCACTTCTGTGACGGCTACATGTAATGTTCTACGTTGGTCGACCGCAAACAACTTGACCTGCCCTGAAACACTGTAGCTTGTTCATGTAATTAACATCATGTCAAGAAGACGCTGTGTCCTACTCTGTGAAAGTAAATTTGTTTTATTTATTTTCACTTCCGAAAGATGAGGCTGCAAAGAATCAACGGTTAAAATTAACTTTTTCCACTGTACCACCGCAGTACAACCCCAATCTTTTTTTTTGTGTTACCGTCATTTTACTGACGACTGCTTTTCTAATCCCGGGGAGTTCAATGCAGGATTCACAAAACGCTTGCTCTTGAAAGATGGCTCAGTACCCAGTTTATTTGGACCAGCTTGCTCCACTGAAACAGTATGATAAAAAAATAGATGTTTATATTTTCTATCAAGCATTCAAAAAACGGAACTATGGCAATGGGCGTATTGTTTCCAACACATGCTGTACGTGGTAGACCAATCACAACAGACTGGGCTGTCTGACCAATCAGAGCAGAGTAGGCTCATGGAAAGGAGGGGTTTAGAGAGACTGAATCTTAGAACTGCTTTGAATGAATCATTTGAGAATTGCTGGAAAATTTGGTGATATTAAAGGGGTCATATGACGTTGCTAAAAATAACATTATGTTGTGTATTTCATGTAATACAATATGTTTATGCGGTTTAAGGTTAAAAAAACACATTTTCCACATAATGTACATTATTGTTGCTCCTCTATGCCCCGCCTTTCTGAAACGTGTCGATTTTTACAAAGCTCATCGTTCTGAAAAGCGAGGTGTGCGCTGATTGGCCAGCTATCCAGTGCATTGTGATTGGCTGAATACCTCAAGCAACACTCCAAAGAGAAAGGAAAAAATTTAAATCGCATCATATGACCCCTTTAAATGCATATTTTGAGAAAACTAAAACCTTTTTTGACCTTGCATGCATGTAAACCTATTGTAGGAGACTCCCAAAACAATAATAGAAACTTTAAAAATAGTATAATATGGGCATTTAAGTAAAGAAAATGTATGTTGTCTAATACTTACTGGTTTCGGCATCTTTGTCTCCTCTCCTCCCTTCCCACGTAATCAAGAAAAGAAGAAAAACTTGTCCTCTATTACAGGATTGTAGGGCCCTAAAAAAGGAGGGAATAAAAGGAATAAGAACACTCCTACTTTCTTCTATATTTCCACCAGACAAAAGTTGAAACTCCATTAAGCTTCAATCACAATAGTTCTCTATGTGGACAAATATTAGCCTAATATTTGGAAAGATATTTGTTTCAGATCAGAGGAGTAGTATTCATGTAAATATATCTGCAAAGCACAGTACTATGTTAATGACACTTTAGACTGATAAAGAAACATGCATGAATGAGAAAAAGAGCAGGACGTGCGTGACTGACACACAGCTGAAGCGCGCACAGAAAGTTGATTCTCTCACATAATCCAGTTGCAGTGTGTGTGGTATGTATGTTGTGCAGCAGCAGCACAGGCTCATTGTACTTTCACGTTTGTAGCTATATACAACAAGCACAACATTTATCCATTATTTTGATTTCAAATCTAAATGTTGTTACTGAAAACGCTTTTTCCAGCATTGAATTCTCTTTGTACAGAGTACAGTAAGGCCCAATCCCAATTCTATTTTATACCCCTTCGCCTACCCCTTCCCCCTTGAAACAGAGTGTCAAGGGGTAGGGGTGAAAATATTATCAACGCTGCTCCACAACTTTTATTAATAACAGTTTAAATACTGAATCGCGACATTATATTTTCCAGCAACGAGAGGATAAAATACAGTTTTTTTAAGTAAACTCACTCTAAAAAGAGAAACGCACAGACGGATTGGGCCTTAATCTTTTATAGATGTATTTACATTTAAAGGCAATAAATATAAACAATGTATTATTCAATGCATTTTACTATATATTACGCTGTTAAAGCAAGTTTCATAAAACCTTGTCGCATTCTTCAGGCTGCATTAGCCTACATCCTGCAATGGCAAGAGAAGTTATTTTAAAATGTTTATTCAGGGTGGTAGAGAAACACTAAATTACTAATATTATTAAAGAGAGGTTTCTAATGTGACACAAATAGGTTAGAGATCAGTATGACATTTTTATGAATAATTAGGAGCACACTTGCTCTGAGAATATCATATTACTTCTGGATCTTGGCTAATTTGAGCGGGTCAAGACCAATTCATGTGTTCATTGTTCACTTGACTCGCTTATTAACTGCAGCAAGTTTTATGTCCTGGAGAAGTCGAATTCACAAATGAACCATTCAATGTTAATGGTGAACCAGTTGATTGAAAAGAATCGTATCAAAAGATTTGCTCATGAAAAGGACATCACTATCAAGTCTCGGACAAGATCTCAATTTCCTCACTTTAAAATAACGAGGGAACAGCATGTTTTCTTGAAATGAAGTGGAGAAAAAAAGTCTTATATTATGCTTTGCAATGTAGTGAAGAAAAACAAAGTTTCATAAAACCTAAATCAACACAGCAGATACATCAGCCTATTGCAGTGTCATTTAGTTATCATACTGTCATGGCTTATAAACAACTTCTGTACCAATAACAACTTCTGTAACTATAAGTGTGCCTTGCCATGTTATTTAAAGGTGCACTAAGCAATATTTAAAAATAGCTTTTGACCACAGTGTCGGACAAAGTCCCAAAACACACCACCTGCCAATCAGCAGCAAGGGGCGTGTCTAGTATTGATAGGGAGAAGAGAGCGCTCAGTAAGTGCACAGGACAGATATTAGCAGATCGACTATAGACAGCGAGAGATGGGAGATAAAAAAAAAAAAAGGAAAATTTCGGAGGAGCAAAACATTAAAAAGAAGGGTTATGATCAGGCAAGAGGTAGGACCAACGTAAATATTGGTGCAGCTTTCCAGCGGTGGAGAGAACTCAAGGAGCGGGAAGGCCTGGATTCGGACGCCGAGGTTGCTCTGTTTCTTCTTGATAAGTGAGTTTCCTGTTGATTTTGCTTTTTCACACAACTAATCTGTGTTGGCTTTTGATTGAATATGCTGCGACCGGCAGGCATAGCAGATTCCGCCATCATCGCTACCAGGGTTGTGTATGTACGTGGGCGGGGTTATCAAAATAGGGGCGAGGTCCTGTTGGGTATGGGCGTGTTTGTTTTGGTGCTTTCACATATCAGCATTGTTTGGCAAAAATCGCTTAGTGCACCTTTAAGTTAAAATGATACAGACACATTTTTAATTTCCTTTCTCATACTATGGTGAAATGAAGTAATCACATTTCATGAATCATTTAATTCCTAACATTATTCTACCTGAAGACCTGACGCTCCTGCTGTAGATAATCAACCAATACATTTTTGTTGAAATGTTGTAGGGTTGTTTGTGCATTCATCTAAAGACCAGCTTAATTTAGCAAAACAATTTCAGGGACATTGGGAGATAGAGGCTAATGTTTTTTTCCCCATGCCTTATAATGAAGGTTTTGTAAAACTGCACAGCTTTTCCAGTTCATGTAGATTTGAAAAACATATACTCCTTCCTACATCGACTATATATACACATTTCCTATCATGTATGCCTATGAAAGACGATCGAGCCAATCAGAGTAGGTATAGGACAGAACAGTACATGCAGCCCCACCCCATTCTGCAGGCTGCAGTCAGGTGTACTTGGATCCGTGTGCAGTGTGAACGCTTTAACCTGTTAACATGGGCACAGAAAAAAGACTGCATACACACTGCAAACAGATTATGAGTGAGACGGCCATCAGACAGCAAGCAGTGACGAATTCAGTTCTCTTTCATGTCTTAATGGTCAGATACACACACAATTATGTCAAAATTCCCACTGTGTGGAGTATTCACGTAAACAGCTCTAGGTTATGTCTTGTATGTGAATGTTAACAGTTGAGTGAAAACTGAAATTGTGTCATTAGATCCATGCATTCAGCCTTAAACTGACAGCAGCCTAATTTACCTGCTGCTGTCTGTGAATCACTTTTGTATCTTTTATAGGGTTGGGTATCGTTTAGTGTTGGGCGATATGGTCATTTTTCAAATCGTCATATCGCCAGTCCGTGAGATCGCCGATAGACGATATTATCGTGCATGGGTGGGTGGAGGCAAGAGAGAGACTCCCTGTACTTGTCATAGGCTATTTCATAACTATTTGGTGTTTTAAACCGCGTGAGAGAGAGAGCCCAGCAAGCAATAGCCGTCATTTCAACGTCTCGATTAATTATAGACCCGATATAGTCCGGCTATGTGTAACCCACTTCTAGCCTAAATAACCTTGAATTTGGTTTCATGTTGTTTTTTGGCAAAATAACTTGTGAGATGTATGATATCCCATAATGTAAACAAAGTCAACAGCATTTACAGGGTGTTTGGTTTCATTTCTTTGACATGTTCAATACATAGCCTGTGCATAGCCATGATTTAGCTCGTAGTCAGAGCGGCTATCTGTAGCCCACTTATAGTCAAACCTGATTCACTGTAGTTTTTGGCCAGACAGCGCATGAGATATCCCATCATGTTCGCAGTGTCAATAATATCTACAAAGATATAAGTGTCATTTCATGACATGGTCTATATGTAGCCACGATTTCGCTCTAAATTAGACGGGCTACGTGTAGTCTGCTTTTAGCCCACCTGGCGAAATCCAGGCAATCTGTGGTCTAATTTTAACGGCGTTTGGCTATAGCCCTATACCAGTAACCAGACCAGCGATGAGCATGGCCAAAATATTGTTTACATGTAATTTTCGCCCACGCAGCTTCTTATCAAATGCAAGTAAACTATTGAAACATTTAAATTAGCATTATTTTATTTTTTAATTCTTTTACAGCATTTTTAAATATAGCATTATTTATTATGCCAAAAATAATGCTAATTTAAATGTTTCAAAAGTTTACTTGCATTTGATAATATGATGTCATGCATCCCACAAGCTAAATGTTACATTCATACACATTATATGATATTATTGATATTCGGCTGGCTTTAATTTTATAAATAAAAGTGCAATTACAATTCCCAACCGCTAGATGGCAATTGTAGCCCTACATGAGACATGACTACTGGCAACG